AATTATTATTTCTGTTTTTAATGTCGCGTGAGCACCTTGAGCAGCTAGAACAAACTAATTTCCCCTGGGGATCAATAAAGTATTTCTGATTTCAGATTCTGAATGAGGTATGAGGTTAAATCTGTCAATACTAGACCTGCCGATAAATTATATGACTGTTTGTGAGCAAGTGCTGTCCTGAATTGTCAAGAAAACTCCTGGAAAATGTCCTGGAAATGTATTTATTAAAAAGAGTTAAAAAAAAATGTTTAACTTTTATCTCCGATGTCATATCCCTAAATGTGAACTAAATATTTTATTGTATTAGTGCTTGGAGCCAGTTAATAAATAGATAAATAGACAGAAATATGCATATACATTTCTCTCTGAGGCACAAGCTTCATTTTAACCGCTCCATTTCCCAAAACCATCTGAAAGCTAAGACGATAAAGTCCAGTGCTTCCCGGGAGCATCTTAAGAGGCTCTGGGACTTGCAGGAGGGCCCACAAACTACATGTGTCATTGAATCCAAAAACTCATTAATTAGTTATTGCCATTTTATTGTAACATTAGTCTCTTGAGATACCCATGTGGTACATGGTGAAACATATGAATGTAAAGTGGAAGTAGGACAGCTGGAAATGCTAACAAGCCAAATATTACTGGCAGCAATGGAACATATGGTATTTTGCATATACCACTATGGTACATGACCACTGTAATCAGCTTGTAATCACCCACATCTGACCTCCACTGTAAGGCTGCACTGATGACACTTGTTTTGTTGTCTTGTTGCAGTCACTGTTCCACCTGCCCGTGTTCAGGAGGCTGGTTCTCAACTACCATCTGTCCGAGCGATTACTGGAGAAGTGTAAGAGCCACTCTGTGAGTAAATACTGTCACCAGCACCTACAAGCATTTTACAGAAAACAGCGGGTCACTCTGCCACTGACATATGAAGGAGATACAAGCTGTGGGGATTTTCTGTTAATATAAACAAAACCACTATGTGACGGTGTAAAGGGGATGAGGTCTGACCCTGATTCTGTGTTAACAGGACAAGAGGAACATAGCTTTCATGCAGGAGCTGCGCTGTCTGTTTGCCCTCATGGTCGGCTCCACTCGCAGGTTTGTGGATCCGTCCGCTGCGGTGGAGTTACTGCGAGACGCCTTCAGGACGAGCGAGGCCCAACAGGTACACTGTAACACTTTTTTTGTTTGTTAATGAGGCTGTCAGAGGGTCAAGCGAGAATCTCAGCATCTCATGAGATCTTTGTAGAATAAAAACAAGAACATACACAGATTCATGGAAGAGAAACGAACAAAAAGCGACCCGTTGAAAACGAGATGATGCAGCTCAAGAAGTTTATCCTCACCATCTGTGAGGTGTCACCTCTGGAGAGAGAATCCTCTCATATCAAACATGCTTGATATCTGCAATTAGTCTTGGAGTACATTGAAGGCATACTATACAGGATGAGGGAAAAAGTAATTCAGAAAGTGGAAAAATCAGCTGTGATGAGAACAGCCAAGCGCACCACTAAAGCGAGCTAACACAAAGTGAGCGCTGTCCTGTATTGTGAAGAAAAACTCCCTGGAAAGCTCCTGGAAAACGATTTCTTAGAAAAGGGGGGAACCTTTAAATCTGTTGTATGGATGCTACCTGTGTGTTTCATCTATATATATTTTTACTTTGTCTTTCTCCCTTTTCTGCCTTGCTTACTTTCTAACAAGGTTGTGAGACTTTCATTTGTGTTTTGGGAGGATAAAGAGAGAGCGAGAGATTGCACATGAACTGAAATATGCACCAAGTGTGAAGAGAAGAGGGTTTGCCATAGAGTCAGGGTCTTCATCAGTGGATGGAGTTTTCTCAGTTTTCATAGAGATACTGTAACTCAGCTGTCATCATGTGACCTTATTATGGAACTGTGGTCATGTGATAAGAGGTGGTTATACACCTGATCTCTATGACAACTGAGCAAACTCCATCCACCGAGGACGAGTGTGAGTTGAGGTTGAAACCTTTAGAAAATATTGACTTTTCGTTAAGATTTTCTACTGTTTCCAAGGTCAATAAACTCTTGTTAATTAATTCTTTGACCTTAACTCCATCCTTTACTATTTAACACTTCCAACTATACACTTTGTAAATTTTTCTTCATTTCAGGATGTCAGTGAGTTTTCCCACAAACTTCTTGACTGGCTAGAGGATGCATTTCAGCTTGCTGCCAATGGAAGGTAAGCTAAATGTTTATCTCATTCACATCCACATGTTATATTCCTCTTCTCTCTTTGTTTGCATGCTTTTACAATTACATGTTTTACTTCCAGTAACGCAGAAGACAAACAACAAAACCCCATGGTCCAGCTTTTCTACGGTACCTTTGTGACAGAAAGAAGACACGAGGGTATGAGTTTTATATGAGCTTCTGTAATGCTGACAATCCGTATGAATTCTCTTCTCAATCACTCACTTCTATGTGACTCTGCTTAGGTAAGACTTTGTGTAATATCGAGCAGTTTGGCCAGTACCCCCTGCAAGTCAACGGCTTTAACAACCTGGACGAATGTCTAGAAGGAGCTATGGTTGAGAAGGAGATTGAGTCACTACATTCAGATCACAGCGTCACATCTGGTCGCGAGGTGAGCAATTACATCAACTCACTAACAATAGGATTTCTATGTATGCTGCATTTTCAGTGTTTCATATTTTTATATCTTCTTTGCAGAGATGGTTCAAAAAGTTGCCACCAGTCTTGACATTTGAACTGTCTAGATTTGAATTCAACACCCAGCTCGGTCGCCCTGAAAAGATACACAAGAAACTGGAGTTCCCACAAATTGTTTATATGGACAGGTGAGACTTTGACTTGTTCCAACACGGGAAAAAGAAATGTCTACAGCGGGCACGGGGATAACTTTAAAGGACACATAGGCTGCACTTTCAGCAGAATTGTCTCTCTAACGTATGCCATCTGGCTGTTACATGTCTATTTAAAGATTCTGGAGAAATCCAATACCATGACAAATACCATGATGTAGTGTGAACAACGACACAGCGAATAATGTAGACACGTTGTGGGTCAACAAACTGTCGCTGAAGTTGCTGCTGCATGAGAGAGAGAGACAGTTTCCCCGAGCCAGCACGCCAGCTCCAGACAGCAATACTCAATCCTCTCCTGCTGCTATAGCTAACACCACAACAGCATATCTAGACAAACTGGAAAGTAAACTGTATGTCAGTGGGAGAGTCTTTTAATGTTATCTGACACACAAATCCTGGTTGCTACGGCCTGAATATTAGGTTGAAGTTGTGTGGCTTGTTCCGATCCACTTTGTTTGTTTCCCATTTAAGCGGAAAGCTAGAGGACCATGAGGAGATATTTGTTGAATTACACTGATCAATGTTGTGGATTGTGTGATTCTTCTGTGAACAGATATCTTCACAAAAACATAGAACAGACCCATGAGAGGAGAGGAGAAGTGAAGAAACTCAAGGAGCAACTCGCAGCCCTTCAACAGAAACTTGAGTGGTAAGTTACCTGTTAAAGCTGAGAACAGAAAACTTCTCCACTTTATGAGAACAGATCTTGTGCTTACTGGGTCCTGTCTTTATCCGCAGCTACAAAAACTATGGCTCAGGACCTACCAAGTATCCTCTGGCTGACATGCTGCAGTTTGTGCTGGAGTTCGCTACCACCAAGCCTACAAGTGTTTCCCCAGCGGAAGATCTGAGACCAACTTCACCCTCACCGACTCCTGCAAGCCACCCCCTCAGTGACCCTACCTCCAAAGACAACAGGTTGAGTACACAGATGACTAGAGAACTGTACAAAGACAAGAGCATATTTTATTTAAATAGGTCCTATAGCCTGGATCCTTAACTCCATAAATTATCTACTTCTCTCTAATTAATATAAACCCCAACTTGTCTTTGATGCCTTTCTTGCTTCCCTCAGTGAAACTGGAGACACAGATTCACCGGAGGGCCTGGTTGCCGGTGTTTCCAGTTGCCAGCGGACCCCCATATACAAACCCTTCACTCAGTGCAGACTCCCGATTGACTGCCCACCACACCCAGCCCCGCACAGCATCACTGAAGAAGAGCTGCACTTTGTTAAGACCTGCCTGCAGCGTTGGAGGACTGAAGTAGAGAATGACATAAATGGTACGCTCATAATACAGTATATCCACTAACAGTTATCATATAGTCAGATAATCAGTTTGCTTTGTTTCCAAGACTACACAAGTGTTGATTGAGCTTAGCATTATGGGCTTTGTTTTTTGGTCTGTTTAGCTGCTAAATGGTCCACTATGTTCTCTAGTTAGTCCATTTTGTCTGTCTGTGGTGAAAGTGAACCAACACAATGATTTGGAAGATGCTCAAATGCTGCATTCATTTCAATAAATAGTGATTAGAGAAGCTTTAAGTTAATTCTAAGGTTTAAGTCAGTTTACATGCAACAAAAACTGCTGACAGATTAGTACGAAAGTGCTCAATCTTGGCACTAGAAATTGGCATTGTTGCACTTCTTCTTCCTCTTGGTTGCACCAAAATATCTGGTATACCAATATGAATAACTGGTGCAGATGCAGAAAGAACCTCAGAGCTCTATATATATATATAGCCCGATATATCTACGTCTCTCAGCTGACTAACTCATGACTGTCCCAGAATGTAATGCATGTGAATTGTCAAGTTGAATCATACTCCTGTGACTCGAATACTAGCTGGAGATATTCACCCTACTCTCCCAAACATTCCCAGAATGGGGGAAATAATCTTGTTGTTTTTTTGTTTGCCAGAGCTAAAGGCCAGCATTGACAGGCTCAGTCAGACACTCGAGGGCATGTACTCCGACAATACTCTCTGCCAGGTAAGAATCACACTCACCCGATTCTCTCTGACAAACAGCGATTTAATCATGTTTTACATCTACGGCTGCAGAAAGTGTATTAATTGATCTTCGTGGCAGCAGAATACATTAACAACAGATCAGATGAATGTTACACTGCAGTGAATTTATAGCTTAACGGCCACATCTCAGATACTGGATCCAAATATTGTGGGCCTTCAGTATTTTATACAGTGTTTGTTCAGCGCTGCCTCTCTCTCTGCTTGTGTGTAGGTCCCCTACAGACTCCACGCAGTGCTCGTCCATGAAGGCCAGGCATCAGCAGGTCATTACTGGGCCTACATCTACGACCATGCCAACCAGCGCTGGATGAAGTACAACGATGTAAGCATCACAGAGTCATCATGGGAGGAGCTGGAGCGAGACTCATTTGGAGGCATGACCAACGCCAGTGCCTACTGCCTCATGTACATTGATGACAGGCTACCAACCCTCATTACAGGTATGTCTCTTTGTGTTTTTCAGGTATTCTATTTGATTTGATCAGATTACCATAACCTTGAATAATGCTAGAGGGAATATCTGATTATTTGAGTACAGCAGAAGATGATTTCTTAAAAAGAGTGAGGAACCCTGAGACGATATCTGTCTGTATAGATATCCATGTTTTGGTACAGCCATTCTGATGTTAACCTCTTCCACTCCACCTTTCCCAACATAAACCACCCATTTTTGTCAAGGATCTTTAGAGGCTACATAAAAGTAGTATACATAAAATAAAGAACTGGTTTGGGGAACAAAGAGTGGTTTTAAATTAAAGAGATTCCAGTCTATAAATGAATATTTTCAGTTTTTTAATGTAGTGTGTTAATGTATAATTATTATTCCACAATGTTAGAAACTAGAACAGTAAAAAGTACAGTCTGCTTTTGTATTAAATATTAATTAAATATTTACAGTACAGTGGTATATTTAGTACTTTTAATGGGCAATATTCTTCAATAAGTCTGTTTTATAATGTAAGTCTACTAACTGACTCTACCCCATATCCACACAGACGACACAGACGATGAGACCGGCCAGGTGCTGCACGGCATGGACTCCCTGCCATCCATCCTCAGACGCTATGTCCATGAGGATAACCGCTGGTTCCAGCAAGAGCTCAGCGAATGGGAGGAGCAGTTCTGCCAGGCCGCTACCCCACAGGGAGAGTCCACAGCCTCTGCAGAGCCCCCGAACCCCAGTCCAGACGATGCACACCAAACAGAGGTTGAGCCGGCGCCCCAGTCGGGACCATCCACTGAAGAGCTAGACCAGGGGGCTTCTTCAGAGCCACAACCAGACACAGAGGCAGAGAAGGATCCGGAGCCTGACCCCAGAGAAGGTCTGTAGTAGTGACTGTAAATAGCCATTGTAATTCTAATACAGTAGCATGGATTTTAAACAACAACTTTTTGGGGACCTCAAAATATGCAGTCTGCAGATTAGGAAGCATTATTGTCCTCTCTTTACATGGTATAGGATGAATAATCCATGATAAGATGTGTGGTTATCCAAAAGGGGCTTTTAGCATCTGTGTGCATCTTTGCCTGAATATAGAGAACTGTTTCTTTCTCTTGTATACCCGAAGGATGATTTGCTGACTGCCTAAAATGGCTGAAAACTACAGAAATTAACAGAAAATCACTCCCTTCGCCTCTCTATTACTTTAATAAAAATTAGAGACTCTTATTATTGTGTATATCAACATATATTAAATCAAATTAGTTCCAGCCGACCTGGACGGCAAACAGGAAACAAAAGCCAAGAGGCTATCACCCACAGTCCGACCAAATTAAGAAGCTCAACATTTACAAATTAGAGACATGGAAATACGCCGCAGTTAAATAAGCCAAGAAGAACCGACGCAATTTACACACAGTCTGTTTAGATGAAGTGAGGTTTCCCAACATATAAACCACAAAATATGGTTAGATTCCTTCTAATCAAGTTTGCCGAGTTCCCCATTGCCCCCATTTAATAAAGAGGAGTGTGATGAAAATACTAGTCCATATTAATAACCTGCGTGTACATAACAGGCCACTGGTAATATTCTAATGTGCAGCATTATAAATATGTAAAAGAAAATAATAAACAAATAATATATTTACCATCACAACAAGACGGGTAAAGCAAATTTCAAGGTCAAGAAAATACCAAATGGTCAGAGCCTGCTATCTTCGTCTCTGTCTAGGCAACACTTGTGATTGAATTTCTCCAGACCTCTGTTAGGCTGATAAGATTTATATGACGGGAGAGTTAGAGTTATATATCCTGCAAGTAAAGGTTACTAACCAACAGTGCTTTTCATTTACAGTCGTGTGTGTCCGCTCTCTTCCCTTCAGATTCAGAGTTGACCCCACCACCACAGAGCCCTGGCTGCCAGCCAGACGAGGGCAGCAGTGCAGCAGTCACTGACACCCTGGTTCCCAGCCAGAGCTCCACCTCAGCTGAGAAGGATCAGATTCAGGTGGGAAAGTCCATGACACCCTGTACGCCCACCCCCACCCTGGTTCACCTCCACTGTAGAATATAGGTCAGAAATTCTAGCCCACAAAAATAAAGTGTGTACATCTGGGTCAAGGATCCCATTTCACCACTTAGCATAGCGATGGAGAGCAGTAATGTACAGATAGAGTAAAGGTCAGCTGACTTGTTTGACAGTCGGTAGCTTGTTCGGAGGCATATCATAGCATTTTTTATTATTTTCAGCTGTTTTGGTCAGAATATTAGAAACACCAACGCAGTCCAAACTACAGTGACTGAGGTGAATCAGCTTCATAAATATGAGAGTTATTGTAGGTTGTTCTATTAGATGGCATTAAGGAAACTGTTAACTTAGTTAAGTGTATTTCTAAATTAGCTGCAGCCTTTCTGCTGACCCACTTGCATACCCAACCTTTCACTGGATACAAGCAGCCATTTTAAATTTCACGCTAATTTGTTTACCCTCCAAATATATTCACTTCCCTGTGCAGGTGTTTATGTGTAGATTAGAGCAGGTGGATTTCTACATGGAGGCGCACTATACAAGTTTTATAATTCTATTCATCTAGCACTTCAAAAAACTAGCTTCACGAAGACACGTGCTAGCATAAAGGCATTAAAATGGAAAACAAGATAAACAATATAAAACCCAAGGAAGAGGGTGAGACCTTCTGAGATATATGTAGGGGCGAGGTAGTGGATTTGTAGAGAAGGATTTTGAAGTCTCGTTTCATGGACCTTGTGGATAACGGGGCAGCAGTGTTTGTATTAGTTGTAAATGTTAGGTAGACAGAGTTACAGTGGTTCAGCCTGGATGATATTAGTGCATGAATGACTCGCTGATCAGAGGGTGAGAGAAAAAAAAAAGTGTGCTAGAATACGTACAAGGCCCTGAAAGCCCTAAACAGGACAAGTGGATACAGATAATGGATGGATTGAAGGCATACTAATGTGCATCTTGTCAAACCTTTCCTCTGTCAGGCCCCTGAAGCAGAGCTCGGTGACCAGGAGCCATCTGACGTCAGGGCGAAGGAGGACGACGACGCACAGGTGGCAGGCCTCGGCCCTCAAGCTGAAGGTGAGCCAGAGGCATCCGGAGAGGCTCCTGAACACGAAGCCAAGCAGGAGGATGAGGAGCAGCGGCGGGTGGTCCCGGCCAGACAGCGACAGACTGAGAACGAGGTCTCGGAAGTGGAGATCCCGAACGTGGGTAGGATCATGGTGAGAGCTGATGCTGATGGATACAATGAAGAGGTAAGTACGTGTCGTAATGTGAATTCAGTAGCTCATACCACTCTTTTTTAAAGTGGTTGTCAGTTTGCTGCCCAGTTGATGTTATAATCACTCTCTTTTACTCAGATGATGCTGACTCCAGCTATGCAGGGCGTCATTCTGGCCATAGCCAAGGCCAGACAAGTGTTTGATAAGGAGGGCCCTGAGGCTGGCCTCATCAAGGTACGACCTCTGAGGGATGTCGAAGGTCCTCACGTCTCACATCAACACCACAGTGCACAAAATACTACGTAGCATAAAATATTTACAGTGCTATATGAAACTGCATCCTTCATAGGAGCAACCCGTTCTCTAGCTACAGTTTTGAATAGTTCAACCTCTTCAAATTCAGATGTTTTAAGGGATCCTGCTGACTTACTTCCTTCATTTATCTGCATGTAACATTTACATTTTCTCAACAGTGTTAATCACACATGGATCAAAAGGCTCCTATTTGATAAATATCAGAATTTTTAACATTCTGTTTCAAATGTAAGACAAAGAATGTAAGTCAAAGGCAATATCAAAAAGAGTGTGTTTTTATTTTTTTTTGGCTCATAATGCCTGAATTTAAATGACGACACAGAAAATATTGCAAGTATAGACATTAAAAAATCAGCTTGAAACTTTTGTTTGATACTTGAAGCCAAAAGTCAAATATTTTACTTACTCAGATTTTCAGCTTTAGTAATGCATTATAAATGAAGCATGCTAGCCTGTCTATGTCTATCAACTATGATCATACTGGCAGATTTAAAGCCACTACAAGGAACTTTCCTTTTGTGTTGATTCTGGCGGCCCCTGTGGACAAAAATGGTAGCGTTTCTACCGCCTGGTTTCATTGATTTCAAGGGGAACCCGACCCAGTGGCAGGCATTAAGAATAACTAATTATGTGTATGTCATACAGAGGCATTACTATTAAACTGAGACTGTTTCATAACCAGTTAAAAACTCCTTGCAGTACGTTTAAATATAATTAAAACTGAGATAAACTGCCCACTGTTCCTGCAGGCCTTCCATGAGGAGTATTCCCGCCTGTATGAGCTCTCCAAGGAGGAGACCACCCTGCAGGAGGACGCTCGTCTGCAGCACTCTCTGGTCTACTTCTTCCAGAACAAGGCTCCCAATCGCATAATTGAGAGGACGCTGCTGGAGCAGTTTACGGACCGCAACCTGAGCTTCGATGAGAGGTACGCACACACACATAGTCTGTTACATTGGATCAAGATGTAAACACTTACGGAAATAGGAATAAAGCTTTTGTCATAATCTAGGATGAAAATGACACTATGAAGGAAAATAGAGATCAAGGAGAAATCTATGTTGGCCATATTCTATTAAAACAAGTTAGGAGGCTTTTAGAGCCCCATGTACAGAGGCTTTACTTCGGCGGTCATAGGTTCGACTCCAACCTGTGGCCTTTAGCTGCATTTCATCCCCTCTCCCTCTATCTGCCTCCTCCTTTCCAGTCTGTTTTTAAGCTGTCCTATTAAATAAAGGCAAAAAATATATTTTAAAAAAGAAAAGAAAACAGATAATGTTCGAGAGGTTTCTGTCTGATGGGTACATGTACACATAGCAGCATTAAGTGATTAACTAAAGTAAAACATGGTTGGAAGGAAGCCTTTAGTCAGAGCAGCAGAACTGTAAAGTACAGTCAACCTATAGAATGATTATGAGGCCATCTAGTGTCCAGAGTAGAGACCTGCAGGCTGGTGTCCCCGTCAAGTAAACAGCACTGACATGATCTTTCTGTACACTCAGGGCCATCAGTATCATGAGGGAAGCCCGATCCAAGCTGCGCCTCATCAAGCCAGAGGACATGGATATGGATGAGTACTTGGTACTGTCTAACAGACAATTTATCTATTTTCTGGCATACACTGTTCTCTGGGGTTCTCTCCCATCTTTGTAATCATTTACCAGGAAATCTGTCTCTGCAAATATTTATTTATATAGCTCAAAATTACAATTTGCCTCAGGGGAGTTTACATTCAGCATCCTCCAGATGTATTTTTAGTTGAGAGAGGTTTGGAGATCTTCCTCTTGTGTGTTTTGGTTCATTTTGTAAAAAAGAAAAATGGACAAGTTTAATGAAAGTAAAGAGGTTAAAATGAAACACCAAAGTATGGTTGTTTACTTTGTACTACCTTGCTTAATTGATTCTTTCACATGTTATGTTAAAAAGTGTAATTTCCTTGTAATTTCCAGCTGGATAACAGCAGCACTCTACAGGTGAGCCAGACGTTTAAAACAGCATATTGTTGTTATTGTTTGTTGATTGTTGGTTGACCCGTGTGCTCTTGACAGCAGTGGCATGATGACTACAGGCCTGTTACAGACCGTGTTGTGTACATGCTGACGGTTGCGCACTCCAAACGGATATAACGTATCCAACGTCACGCCACCACTACCCGACCAGCACAATGCTTTCAGAAAATCAGCCTTCATGGGTGATCTGTAAATACACAAATTACACAAATAAGTAAAATCTGTGATGCATTAAAGATTACAAATAATCCAAAATGAATATCTTCCCTTACATTTACAGCTTAGAAAGCCTTTGTGAATAGTTTTTAGTTTTTATGATTTCTAGACAAAAATAGACAGCATTTATGTAGGGATTTTACACATCGTTGCCTTGTTTTGTGTTGTTTGTGTGTGTGTTTCTTGTGTGTGTGTGTGCGTGTTACAGGATGCGGGAGGCACTTGATCTACCGGTCACCACGCGTACGAGGACCAACACCACCCTGCTGAAAACGGGAGAAACGTGGCGTGGACAGTTCTTATTGCAGTTACAGCGGAGTGCCTCACTGTGATACGGCAGTCCAGTGCTGTTGTTAATGTAAGCATGAGAGCATGTACGTACATAAAACGGTTAGAATAAACAATGGACACGTTTTTAAAGTACAGTATTAAAATGCAGCTTCATGGCAGTCTGACTTTAAAATCTGATATTTATTGCTGCCAGAGACTCATCCCTGGAACTGTCAGTCCCCATCCATTTCTGTGACAGTTTGGCCAATAGCGCTCAAATTTTTGGCTTCTGGCCAAATTGCTGAACCAAAACAGAAGCACTAATTGAACAAGCTTAGGTCTAATTACGCCTCAATAATTTAATATTAAACATATGTGGCAATACGATGCTTTTTGTTTGTTTGGAATTTCTAAACAGTACGTATAAGTGGGTTTCTTAATCATTGCTCTGCTTTCTATCTCATGAACTTCAGCCTCATATATATAACATAAAGATGTCTTTTTGATTCTGGCTGCCCCTGTGGACATAACCGGTAGTGTTTCTACGGCCGACCCAGTGATTAAGATTAACTATATAGAAACGGCCAATCTACTTTCTGATGATCTTGTTAGTTTATGTGGATCATATGAAGGCATCAGCATTACATTAAGACTGTTTCATAACCACTTAAAAAAAACTTTCCAATTCCATGAAAACAAAGCAACTCCATCTGCTGATGAAGCTCATTTCATAGGATTAAAAGACTGCGGACTCTGTATATGTCAGATTCATTTAACAACCTTTAAAACAAACCTTTTTCGGTGACTTTTAACTCCTCACCTTGCTGCTGTGATGTACAGGTGTACTCCAGGACTCTCACTATTCTTAAAATAACCAACACGTAACCATCATAGCTACTCAATATGAGGAGCGGATATGATTAAGATTTGTATGCATTAACATTGTGCTTATAACTAATCTACAGAATAATAACTGTTGCTGTCTACCCTCCTCCCAACATGCAGGCACTGAATGAGAGCGCATCGCGGCTGTTTTGCAGCGGCGAGGAGACCAATGTGGAGGAAGGGGTCGCCATCATGGACGAGGCCGTCATCCCCTGCCTTCACCTGATGAGCCGGGACTCGGCTCTATCCCAGGAAGACCGGGTAGCCATGGAGAGCATCCGCAGCCACTGGTGCTGCTGCCTGGGCCAGGACATGGATGGTGAGAACACATCAGCACATTTTATAACGACGTCCTCAATCAGTCCACGTCCTACACTGATGCTAACAATCTGTAAACTATACTATGCTAAAATAAACCCTGCTTTTCTCCCTGTTTTCAGACTCATTGCAGGTGAAGCTGGGTGAGTTTCTGCCCAGAGTTCTGGACGGTTCAGCTGAGACAGTAGTCCTCAAAGACCCTCCCAAAGTCCACGTCAACCAGGCCCACGACCTGTGCAGTCGCCTGGCCGCCGTCATGGAGTCCATCCACAACACCTCGATAGTCAGCGTTAAGTAAAGCCCTGAACGAAACCCCCCGACGACCTCCCTGAACCACGCGTCCGAACCTGCGAGCAACATTGGCCGATGGATGGTTGTGTGCCGACCGACTGCGGGGTTGAGACAGATTATGTATTTCATTTCATCTGCTGGTTTTAACATTGCACATGCATATCATTTTGATGTTTTACCATAGAACGCTGTAAGCACTAGATAGAGAATGGGGCACCACTTCAAAACTCAGTAAACCACTGGTTCTCAAACTGTGGTACACGTACCACTGGTGGTACGCAAGCTCCCTCTTGTGGTACGCGGAGGAATCTCGAAAATATATATTTTTAAATAAAGTAAATTCATATGATTCTATCAAAATATTACAAAATGTCTAATGAAAATACTATGAGATTACTGAAATTTTATTTAAAATAAGTTTTGCATTTCCTGTAATATTTTGTTTTAATATCAGCCATATTAAAACTATATATTCACGTTCTTGCACATAGCACAGTGGTTCCCAACCTGGAGGTGCATGGGGGGGTTGCAAGGCCTTCTTAGATAAGGGGTATAAGAAAACTTAAAAAAATACTACAGTTTTTTACACAGTAGGCCTATATCTTAGTCTTTGGTTCACTTCTGTAAAGAAAACTAGATGTAAAGTAAATTGTCTAATAAAACAATGGCCAAGTGCCAGCAAAGAAGCCCATTAAGTCTGTATGATTGTTAAAAATAATCCAAAATACATCGTGCAGACACAGAATTGCATAAAAAGTGCAGGAAATAGTCTGCTCAAAATTCATCCAAATCCCTTGTTTTACGCAAAAGTTCATTGCACAGTTTTGAATATAATATGAATTATCCATAAAATATGTTACTTAATCAGTTAACTAAATGATAAAAAGGGGTCCTTTAAGGAAAAAGGTTGGGAACCACTGACATAGTGCATGCATACATTATTCGTATACCTGGCAGTGTATGAGAGTTGTGTGGAAGAGTTTAAATGCTAGCTCTTTTTTATTCGGATTATTAAGAATGAACCTGCCTCCTGCGTGAACTGTCTACACACTGCTGTATTTTATCGTCGGTCACAATAGTTGTGCGTGGAGAGCCTTATATTTTCTGTGGTGGAACGAGGTGTAAAGTATGCGAAACACTGATCTAAATGAACGAAAATACATCAGCAACTTTCATGTATGCCTTCTGCCTGCCCACCCACCACCGCCACCATCAGCAACCCACGAAAAAAGCAGCAGGTTATGCAAAAAGGTAGCAGCCCCCTGTATCCAGATATCAGTTAACTTCTAAAAACATACATTCATCCTTTTGCTCGCCCCTCCAGAGAGCACATTGCTGACAGTCGTGGCACTGCGTAGTGGCTCTAAGAACTGTAACACTTCATATAGCTGCAACCAGCTTCTCACCAGCCGAACAGTTATTCATGAAAGCTGAACCTGCTGAACCGAAACAAGATGTCATCAGCAGGAGATCACAGTCGCTCTGATTGGCACTCCACATGGACGTGTTTTATTGGCCGGCAAACGTGTTAAGTTTAAAAACTGGCAACAATTGGACTGTCGCTCAACTCTGCAGGAAGTGACTGGATTGGTACAATTTGTTGTTGTGTTGCTAAGCAGTGTGAACGCACAATAAGGCCTTTATACAGGGCTGAAAAAAAAAACACTAGATATATACTGCACAGTAACAAATGATGTTTATGAGCTTTTTTAAATATATGTTTTATATTACTTTGTATTTTTCCAAAACACTGTAGGAAATTTTACATGTAAGTGAAGCTAGAAAGAAAGATATCTACAGTACTATTATGCATACAAATATTAATGGCAGGGCTGCTGCACACTCAGAACTAGTCAGTTCAAACTTGATACTGCCCTGCTGGACAGCACCTTGCTCAACAAATGTGCCTTTTCTCTTCGTTTGAAAACATGTAAAACCTTAAAAAGGAAAGACATAGAACAAGAGATGAAGTCCTTTTTTATTTGTTGTCCCAGATGCATCGCAGTATCACAAGTTAATCGTCTGAATCAGGATTTTCTGGCCAGCAACATGGAGCTAACAGCCATTTCTGGCTGCTGATTTTACACTGCTATTTCACCTGTAGTCTGTGATGATACTCAATAAATATTTTAAATATTCTGTGTACTCCTTCATTATTGTCTTCATTTGTGTAGTGGAGCTTGTAAGCTCTTCTAACTGCCATTTCTGCCATTGACTTTAGGAAAATACGTCAAGTATATTCAGTTTCTTCATATTCTCTGTTAATTTTGTCAAAGAAAACAAACAGCTCAAACTCGAAAAAATATCTGAAATTTGTATGAAATGAATATGGAGGAGAAGGAAATGTCCAGAAAGGACCTCATGTTTCTGGAAAGCATGAAGCACTCAGCAGTACTTCAGGGTAAAGAGATCTATCTTCCCAACAACTTTGCAGTGGTTAAGCAAAGTATTCAGGGTTTCAATTAGAATTTCTATGTGTATAACGAACAAAGCTATCCAGGTGATACAAGATCGTATTGCTCTGTATCAGAAGGGTGACATCACCTTGGAGAAATGGATCACCAATAGTCATGTCGTTTTGCAAACCATTACAGGTCCTAGTTCGGGACTGAGATAAACGTCCAATGGAAAGAGCTCTGGGTCTTTCCTGCCAAAATTATGCAGCAAGAGTTCTGTAGGCGAGTCAGTGTGGACAGATGCATCAAGCCAGTGGACACTGCCTCAGATTTTTTCCTCTTTCAAGGCTTCGCTTACTGGTGTTTTGACCCCGGAAGGGCAAAGGGGTTTTGACTGCAGTTACACTAAAGTTTGTTCGATTCTCGCCACCTGAGAGTGAGCTGTGACATACACTGTAGATTGGCAGAAGCTTCAGGTTAAAGAGCCAGGACACTACTGCTGGACAGTTGACTCCCAATAGTGTGAAGTAATTAACTGGAGAGTTTAAGAAATACTAAAACTTCAAATATGTTGAAAATGAATTACGAACCTTGGAATTTCAGAGACGTCTTTCAC